TAAAGTTTTTTGTGAAAACACATGATCTTGGCTCCCGACATGGCAAATTCGTATCCATCGTTTCCCATGGAGCTGTCGCCAACCCGACTGGAAGGACACCAGCTTGGAGAAAGTTGGTGGAGAAGATCCAGAGCTTTTCCTTCACAAATTTTCTTCCCGGACGGAAAGAGGTTGGGAATCAGGGCAAAGCAGCCCTGATCGATTGGGGTTAGGTTTGATTAAGCCTCAATTGCGGACAAGCAGTTGACGGGCAGCCCAGAGATGGGCTGGTAAGAGTTGATGGGAGTTGTAGTCTGACACTCCAGAAAGCAGTTGCATATTTGGCACTGATTTCGATTGGTGGCTGCCACTGTAAGGGTGGGAAAGGAGTGTAAATGGTCTCCCGCTAGTTGTCCTCAACTTCTCTGATGGCATGGATATATTTTCTTGGCAAAAATGCAAAGGTGATTTCCTACTGTCTTCTCCTGGGATCTTTCTTTCATATCCCAAACCAACCTATTCTGGGATTTCCTGGTGGCCTCCTATCCAAGTACGAACTAGATCCAATCCTGCAGAATCTCTTGAGAGCCCCCAAGTTCAACTAGGGGCTGCCACCTGCTGTACGCAAGAAGGTATGGCAAGAATTGAAAGCATAGATGTCTCAATTCTCTATCTCAGTGTTTCTCAACCTTGGCGACTTGAAGAAGTGTGGACTTCAACTCCCAGAATTCCCCAGCCAGCCAGAAGTCCACACATCTTCAAGCCGCCAAGGTTGAGAAACGCTGCTCTGTCTGCTTACCCCGGCTTACTTTTAAGTTGCAATCAGCAGGGTTGTGCAGGAATGCTCACCCCTCCTCAGTAATTTGGCATCTCTCTCAAGATGCGAACTTGGTGGAAAATTGTCGATTTCTAGCGTAGCAAACTTCTATCTCGCTTTTCTGTCCCCTCTTCGAAACGTACCAGTTCCGTGAAGCCCTAATGCCCCACGACCCAGAGTGCAACTCAGTTGCATGCCGCTGAAAGAAATAGGCAGGCTTTCCTCCCATATATTTTTGCCTCCCTCTTCATCTATTATCCGCCCTATGTCGAATTATATCTTCTAAGTTTCCGGGGAAAGAAAATGCTCTCTTGGACTCGGTAGCATCCTCTGCACGCTGATGGCTTTCGGAATCTTACTCTGCATAAATATTCTTGGAGCTTCTGCTGCTTTCTGCTACCCA